TGTTTATTCAAACTGAAGGTGCTTCGGGAACGACTGATTTTACAGCAACAGTGCTGTTTATCCAAACTAAAGGTGCTTCGGGAACGGCTGATTCTACGGCAACAGTGCTGTTTATCCAAACTGAAGATATTCGCCGGTTGCCTTCACAGTGCTGTTTATCCAAACTGAAGATGTGTCAGCGGAAAAAAGAAAATAAAAATCTCAAGATGTTTGAGAGGTTTTGCGCAGGGCAGTTGTGTGTTGAATTGGAGGTCCCCAAACTGAAGGTGCAGCTTTGTATTTATAGTGGTTATAAACCTATTAGATGATGTTTTTTTTTTTTCAAAACTCCGTCTCCCGAGTTGTATGCGTAAACGCATCCATGCAATTCCGTAAAGAATTGCAATTTAATCACAATTCTTCTCCGTTTCCCGAGTTGCATGCGTAAACGCATTCATGCAATTCCGTAAAGAATTGCAATTTAATCACAATTCTTCCCTTAACCCATCATCTGGTCGCTTATCTCCTCCAACGCATGCATAATATTCTATGATGAGTCCACGTGCTTGCTTGATGAGATATATTCTATCTCAAATGGAACTCTAGATTGATAAAAATGAGTCATGTGGATGCAGCTCTGTAATGTTGCATGCATGCTTATCTCCATGCAATCTTCATTAATTCAAATAGAAAATCACAAACCAACTCAATTTGATTGTGAATCCATCCAATCATCACGTGCTGCATGCTTCCCAAATCAAATATGATTAATTCAATCCCTTATCCAAGCAAAAAAGCATGACTTTGTAGACTTTCACAATTCCCGCACCATGTTAAACCCATTTAATCCATCCCAATCTCCTTAAACGCAAAAGATCTCTCTCAAGATAATTACCATGATTAAAATCAATAATAATATCAAGAAAAATCTGTTTAGTTTTGGAGTCATCTAATGGTCTTAATGCAATGGGCCGATAGTGTAAAATCGGGTCCAAACAAATATATATATATATATATATATATTAGAGAGGAGAAGGACTAAGGATCGCTTTTTTTTTTTTTTTTTTTTTTTCTTTGATAACTTAGTGTACAATGTAAATCTTATGTGATCACTTACCTCTGTTGGATTCATACTAATTGGTGTCGGTGTTCTTAAATAGGATACTAATTCAATTTATACATTTCTTTTGTAGGCCTCTTTTGGTGACAACGAGTCGATGAGACTTTGTGATTGAACGTGCTAAAGCATTACTGTTCAAAAGTGTTTAGTTTCAGAATATTTTGGAGCTTTGAATCATCTAGTATTCAAGATAATGACTAATTTTTGTTTTTAGAAGCTTTACTTTGTAATCATATGGATTATAATTAAAGACTTGCTCGGGTGTAGCAAAAGAATATCGTTCGTAAACTATTATTTCGATTATTGGAATTGTATGATGACTTAAATGATTAAAATAGGGAAATGCATGCTAATATGCACCTATAATGGTGTTTAATAGTTAGAAAACAAAAATTATGACAAAATTTTCTTTTGTAATTTTCAAATTGTTAAAAAAAAAAAAAAAAAAAAACAAGTAGACGGGTGAAAAAAAGGGTAAATGGGTAAAAAAAGGATAAACGGGTTCAAAAATGGGTAAACGGGTAAATGATTTTGGTTAAATGGGTAAACGGTTATGGTTAAATGGGTACACGGTTATGGGTATGGTTAACCGTTTATAAACGGTTATAGGTATGTATATAATCATTTATGCAATTACCCAACAGGTAAATGGTTATATGGGTATGAACATAAACGGTTATCGGCTACAATTACCTACTCGTCATAACCATTGCCCATCCCTAGAAGGAGACGGACGTCCACACAATTTCAAAAGGGGTTATTCATACAATTTCAGAATCTGATACCTCACATGGTCAACACTTCAACGCACTGACATATTTTGATACAGGGCAGACACATACCAATGAAAAAGTTTTAGTTGATGAATTAAACATGCCAACAGTAGAACCCATCGAATTTCAAGAAAATCAAGGCCAATTTTACGAGCAGGCTGAAGTCTATAAGGGCAAGCATGAAGAGCTTAACGGCAGCCCAATCCTTCATCAAGAAATTCGGCCAATACAAAAATTGTGAGTGTTAAATACAAGGTTCAAGGCAGCTCAACAGAAACATAAACCTCACTAGAAATAGCCTTATTTGATTACGAAGATTCATTCACATAGAATGGCAAATATAAAGGATTCAACCATTGAACTGAAACATCAACTCATTCCATACCTACTGTTGCTATATGATGCTATTAAAGAGTGGTTGATTCTCAAGGAGCAAGCGACATGATCACCAACCTCGTTCAAATTTGTTTAGCTATAGACGTTAACTAAAGCGCTAGAGCAAACCAATTTTTCTAACTCTTTTCTTCTTTATGTTGTTGATTTTATTTTCTTCCTTTTATTCTTTATCACAAAAATAAATAAATTAATTAAAAAAAATCAGAAAATTGAAAACACACAAAAATAGAATTTTTTTTTTTTTTTTAGCTAATCATTGGGTTTTATTCTAATAAATTTTTATGGTGTGATTTTTGTAGGTTTCATTGGATTCGAATGGCCTTAAATATCCACTAAATGCGGAAAATTCAACTGAATCATGCATTCAGCAGCACTCATCCACATTCATCAGACCTCAATGGATGGAAGTCAGTTCTGAAATACTCATAATGGGGGTTTACTGTGCTACTCTCCGCACTGTTTGGAACCTTTCGCTTACTCTCTCTCACTTGCATAAATTTCATTATATACAATTTTGGGGGTCTGAGCAGTACAGAGGAGAACACAGTCATCAGGGCCATCCATATGCATATACTTTTGCTCAACATACATCAATGCGACATGCACAAACATAGAGGACAATTGTGACCAAGCGAAAATCATTGAAGGGATACATATCTATACATTTACCATTGTTTGCTAGGATGGATGGGCATTCTGCAGCTCCAACACTGGGAGCACACATACATCAGACACTCATCCTCTAATTTTCCCTAATCGAAGCTTTGGACTTGAAATTGAATTTAGAGGATGAAAATTCTTACCTCTGAGTGTGTCAACACCAAGATCAGAAGTTTGGGGGTGGATCTCCACCTTTGCCTTCAAAGCAATGAACAGATAAAGAAGACAGGACTCGCAGAGGAGCTAGAGGGTGTGGATGAGAGAACCGAGATAAATGCAAGGTGGGTGTTCGAGAAAATGAGAAACGGGTGGAAAGGCTCTGGGCTCGAGGTGTAATGTTTAGAGAGACAGGAACGGCAACTTTAGGTTAAAAATAAAGAAAACTGTTGAAAATGACTCGAAAATTTTAAGTTTTAACGATAAGGACAAAATAAAGGCTATCGTAGTATAGCAGCTCAAGCAAGATCGTTCTACACAGGAATTGAATGAATAATTTATGTTAAAACCAAATCTTAATTAATGTGATTTTATGACCTAAAATATTAAAAACGGATTTAATTAAAAACAATTAAATAAATTGGCAAAGTAAAGAAAACAAAAGAAATAGTTTTGAAAATAAATTTGAGCACTAAGGTTACACTGTCACCTTAACAATCCTATGTAGCTCTTCCAATTACTTATGACTCACACATGCATATTTGAAGGTTAGTTTTTCCTAAAGTATGCCTTACTTGGAACCTTCAACATATATCGTATATCTAACATGCAATCTGTTCGTGGTGTCTAGATTGAATGTGAACATGCAAGACTCATTAAGTTTTATGAAAACCTTTTGAAAAACCATATAACCCTTAACACGTGTCATTCATCCTAAGAAGTTACACATATTAACCACAAGAAGCTAGCGCCAATTCCAGGAACAACCCTCCACCAAAATTGCATCAAATTACTTTTCTAAATATCCTAATGGTGGCCAATTATCAAGACAATTAGATAGTTTAAACCGGTAATTAATAATTCAAAACTTGCATGCAATATCATAAGCAAATTGAAAAGAAACTACATATTATTGCTAAGGCTCGTGGCCTCACCCTGGCAAATGAAACTAGCTATTAACAATTAAAAAACAAAATATTATTAAAAACACGAATAGAAAACACCTTGAAAATAAACTTGAATCTTCCAAAGTAGTGCGTGCATTCCCCTCCCTCCCCCTCCCTCTCTAATGGCTAAAAAAACTTATTTATACTATTAGAAAATAAAACCCTACCTAGAAAATGTCTTAAAATAATACTAGGAAACTAAATAAATTAAAATAAATTAGGAAACATAATCCTAAATTGACTAGTAAAATTCGCCCAAAATTTTACACAGCCACGTTTTGGACTCATATCAGCTCCAAAACTGGCCCAAAATAGTTGGACTTAAAGTTTAGACTATTCTGAACACTTCTCTAGAAGGTCACGAACCCATCCTAGGTCATCGTGGGCTCCAAAAAAGTGCATTTAAGCCCAAAACATCACTTTTTAGGAACGTGCACTGCTTCTTTATTTAATTGCCAGAAAATAACCACTTGGTATAAATTGCTGAAATTTTGACACGAACAAGCTAAGGAACACACGGACGTCTTCTAATTTGAATTACTCCAAAATTCATCCGTTTGATTCTGTTTTGCTTTGGGAGAAATCGAATGTCCTATATTGAAAATATAAACAAAATATCAAAATTCTACCCAAAATAACTAATAAATTATAACTAAGATTAGGGTAAAATACATAGTACAATATCAAGTCATCAGAAGGCTTTCATACATTCAAATATTACTTTTGTACGAGTGTTTATGTTTAATTTGAAACAGAAAAATCGTGTTCTTATATCAATAATAGTATAATTGATATAAAAGTTAGTAACAATCGTTCATGTGCATGCAAACATACCCTAAACTAATTACTAATAACTAATTGGCGCGACTAGCATTTTTCTATTTGCAACCATACTTGTTTGATGATTAAAAGAAGCTAATGATGATCTCATATCTTGTCTGGGCTTGGCAGTTGGGAAACACTCTCAAATCCTCAACAATACATTGTTCCTTTTTCTCTTCCTTTCCTTTTTAAGTGGGCCAAATCTAGAATACTCTTTGTTCTTTTTGTTGGAGGGAAACCCAAACCATGGAATTAGGTTTCTGACTTCACTTCTGTTACCAAAAATATATTGCACCTAATCTGTCTTCAATTTTGATAATCCAATGATTATGTGTTATGTCATTACAGAAATTCATGGTTTCTTGGTTTTTAATTTTTTTTTTTTTCCCTTTCTGAATGGTTAGTTTCCTAAAGAAATATGAGAATTTAATTATTTTTTTAATACGACGATGTGTTTACATTAAGATGATGGAAGAATAAATTTGTATCAAATTGGCCTTTCGTAATATTCAAATCTACGACATCTCACGTACAAACATAGAAATATTCATGACAGATAATTTTATTATATAAAAGCCCTACTGTACGGTTTTTCTTCTGAAGGACAAAAAAAATTGATGCCAATTCATTCATGAAAAGGAAACCAAAATTAATTAGAAATCAAGACTAAATAGAAATAAAAACCCTACATAACCACAAGCATAGTCTAGTCAAGCTAAACTACAAGCATGACTAATATTGCATAGGATGATAAAACAAGCAATGAAACTTCGGTTTAGTTAAAATGAAATACAGTAGAATGATGCAGAAAGCATGCTAAGAGTAAGCATTAGAGATGCAGATACTGAGTAAGTTCCGGCGTGTGAAGCAGTGACCGGCGATGGAACTACATTGACGGAACTTCTTGGTGCCTGGCTTGGTTCTGGAGAGTGACTCTTTGGCGATGATTTAGGAGCATGTGTGTGGGGTACTGCAACAGAAAGATATTTGAGATTTAACATTTGGAACAATGATCAAATCTTAGATTTTGACATATTATGTTGTTAATTGTCCCAAAAAATATTAAATCACTCATAACTTTGATACACATGCAATAATGAAATAACGAGAATACATAAGTCTAATATAAATTTAGTTCACAGTTCTATTTTCTTGTTCACATCTATCAGCTTCTCATCTCTCGGTCTTTTTTTTTTTTTTTTTTTTTCAATATTAAAAATAAACTAGAAACATCACTCTACTAAATAATAATAAAAATGTATCTATACGAAGAAAAGAAAATCTAAGTTAACAGGAAAGATTAATTACTTTTATCACCATTTTTTACCTATTGAACGGTCATTCAAGGGACCATTTCATAAAGTATAGGATTTTTTTTTTAAATTTTTAAATATGGAAAAAGGTGAAACTAAAACATATAGTTAACAATTAGAACATACCCTGAGCACTTGCACCAGGAGGCAATGGGACTGCAAAACAAAAGAGGAAAACATTTTGACGTTCAATATACATCGACATATTCTTAATTCATAAAAAAAAAAATTAATCAGAGTGCACAATACTTGTGAGAGATGAGATTACTCACGGTTACATTCACTAAGAAAAGAAGGTGCAGAGATTCCACAAGCAGAAGGCAATGTCATAGCCTTTGTCATATTTATATGAACACCCAAATCAGCACTACTTTCTATGGCTTCACATATGCAGCCATCACTAGCTTTTAGCACCATCTCCAATCCAGGACAACACGAACCTTCCGGCTTTGTGTTCGTGTTCCCATCGCTTAAAAAGGGAATGCAATCGGCAATTTCGAATATCACATCGTTACAACCATCTGTGCTTGGTGAGCCTGCTGTCGTTGGTACGTCCGGCGAGCTTGGTTCCGGTGATGCTGCATACGACAGTGGATCAACATCAGGGATTCGTGCACAATTTGCGAACATAAAACATGTGGTCAAAATGAATATCAATCTCTCCATTCTTTTCTCTGGAAGAATAGAGAGCCTAGCTTCAACAATTGCACAAGTTTAGCAATGTTTTTTCTTGTGTATTTTTAGTTTTATAAAAACTTATGGCGATAAGTATTGTTCGGAATTGAATTTCCTAAATTCTCTCTGTATAGTTTGAACAGAGTTCGAATTTCACTGAAATTGGAAGATTAGTTATAACTTGCGTTTGAGTTAATCTTATTGTTACACATATCATCTCAATGTCTCTAATTTAAAAAATGTAACTACTTTCTAAGAAATATGTTCTCAAATGAATTTGTATTGAAATTTCCGAAACTCCCTTATAAGCACGCCGGGTCCGTTGTGATAATCTCTTTGTGAAAATCCTAACCCAACTCAAATATACAGAAAGAAACCATATAAAAAAAAATTAAAAAATAAAAAAAAAAAAAACCCTACCCAATAACAGAAAAATACAAAACAAAACAAAAAAGAGAACAGAGAGCTACAGAACACGCATGTTCCTCTGTTAGGCGTGGGCTTTTAGCATTAAGCTCATCATCTTTGAATGGTATGGACTAAGGAGAGCTGGACTTTGTAATCTATGGACCATACAAGGACAAGTTTTAGGGTCTTGAGTTGTAATGTCCTATCCCTTTGAAATTTTGAATGTCCTAAACTTGAGGTAGTTTTCTAAAATTTTAATCCCGCCATAAGACCACAAACATAAATATTATGGATGAATCCGTGACATCATTTTATTTACATAAATTTGAGGCAAGTTTTTGTGAGGCTAATTTCGTAATGTATTCAATGATCTGAACAGTTTATCTTTTAAGTTTTCCCTCAAATATCATGTCTACCAAAAATCATCCAAATCTGAAATCATATGACCGTTAGATTAAGGTTTAGGGTTTCTTTGTTGAACGCATGCATCCATTTTCTTTACTACAAACGAATGTCTTAATGATTTTGGATTTGTCTAATTTTTGCTAGCATAATCTATGAATGATATTCTAAAAGATAAACGATTTGGTTTGTTAAAATACATTACGTAGTGGACTCCAAAAAAATTGTGTAAAATAAGTAGTATCACAAATCCGCTCCTATACATTTATATATATATATATATATATATATATATATATAGGCCTTTTATGCAAGGGGATCCCCATTTTTTTTCAAAAAATAGGGATTAGGTGTGGGGCCCATTCCACATCGAACTTTGTCGATTCAAACGTCTATTTTGTAAGTCTCGGTTCATAGATCATCTTGCAAAAATTCAATTCAATCTGAAACCATTTGCCCATTTAATTATCAAGATAAAATTTCTTTGTTTCTTATATAACAAAGTATTCGTTAATTTGTTTGAACTCAATTAGATGTTTTAAACATTTCTGATTTGGCTAATATTTTGCAAGGATGATGAATGAGGTGCAACTTGAAAAATAGACGGTTCGGATCATTAAAATTCGATGCGGTGTGGACCTTACAACTAATCTCCACTTTTATAAAAAATCCCCCTTAAAGGTTTCATATATATATATATATATATACCAAGGTACCAACCGATGATTTTTCACTTTCAAAATCTCAACTCAACTATAGCATGTAATGAGAATTATGAGATAGTTGCCTTGCCCTCTCTTTCTGGGAACAAATTTGTAGGATCTTTTATGTGTGTGTGCGCGCACAGGTCCTTTAAGGGAATGGGCTCTTAATAAATTTTTTTTTATTTATTTTTTATTTTTTATTTATTTTTATATATATATAAGGTTTAGTTGTGGGACTCATTCCACATCGATGATCTGAACCGTCTACTTTTTGAAAAAAAAAAAAATGGGAATCCCTTCCCTTAAAGAATATGTATATATGTGTGTGTATCTAATCATTCTACTTTGCAATTAACTGCACTTATAACACAATAACGTTGATATACTAATAATTATATTGAACACATTTTGACAACTATAATTTCATTCTGTCGACGGTACAACAACAACAATAAAGCCTTATTCCATTAAGTAGGGTCAACTGTATGAATCCTATAACGCCATTGCGCTCAGTTATGTGTCACGTATTCCTTTAGATCCAAGTACTCCAAGTCTTTTCTTAGAGTCTTTTTCCAAGTTTTCCTAACTCTTCTTCTACCCCTTCAACTTGAACCTCTGTCTTGTAATCACATCTTCTAACTAGAGCGTCTGTATGCCTTCATTTCACATGTCCAAACTACCTTAACCAATTTTCTCTCATTTTCCTTCAATTTTGGCTACTCCTAATTTACTCAGATATCCTCATTCCTAATCATATCCTTTCTCGTATGCCCACACATCTAACGAAGCATTCTCATATCTACAACACTCATTTTGTGTACATGTTGATGCTTCACCGCCCAACATTCCGTGCCATAAAGCGTTACTGGCTTTATTGCCGTCCTATAAAAAAAATTCTTAAGCTTTAGTGGTATAGGACAGTCGCACAACATATCCAATGCACTCTTCAACTTCATCCATCCAGCTTGTATTCTATGGTTGAGGTCTCCAACCACCTTGCATTTTTTTCACCAGATAGATCCTAGATAGCAAAAACGGTAACTCTTTGGTACTTCATATAAATGGCATATTGACCGTGCCTACATTTTCTTTGAATGCAATTAACCACAACCTAAAAAATCTATTTACATAATATATGAAGAGATGCAACTGGAAACTCATATATTTATAATACAATTCTGAGTAAAAGCCGCATTTTCTTTGAATGCGATTAACCACAACCTTAAAAAAATCTCTTTACATATTATATGAAGAGAAGCAACTGGAAACTCAAATATTTATAATACCATTCTGAGCAAAAGCCAATGGATTGCCCATCAATATAACTGTAAAGGACAAACCCTACTTTTTTCTTTGCGTTTTGGGATTATCATGGTATGGTCAAGCCATTTGTTCGTCGATCTTTTAGGACCAATAACTGCAGCTCATCTGCACTTCTTGTGGCTGATTTTTCTCTGCGAAGCATGGGCATTAACATAAACTTCATGAACTTATTATTATATGGTTGGGACCCAATTATTGTTTCAAAACCAATAATTCCCCAACCACCCCTTGTCCCCAACCCTACTTCCAAATATAATGACTTTCTTCGCCCCCATTCATATTTCATGGCTAACCAGAAATAGATGTTCTCTACTGCGGTGTTGTCACATCCCTTGAATGGCTTCTCACCTTTTACCAAATTTGATGCACATCACTCCATCTGTTGTTTACGGAGAATAAATAATTAGTTAATCTTTTACAAATATTGGTGTTTGCACTCATTTTTGTTCAAAATTAAGACGACTAATCAACCAATCCTATGGGAAATGGTCTCCATGCAAAATCTATTTCTGGTAAAACATTATACATGTAATCACCAATCACTTAAATTTAATTTTATACTTGATTTACAAACGACTGAGTTTAATAACTCACTTTTTATTGCACCATTTCGTGCGAGTTGTCTAAAAATATTTGGAAAATGATAATCAATTCATGCATGTAGCTCACATCCTGAATTTCGTGGGTTCACCCCCATTTATCTCCTAATAAAAGCTGATAATTATGGAAAGAAAGAAATTGACTCATGCCAAGAAAAGTAGGAAAGCAAGTGGAAGCTGGTGAGAGCACTCTTACGGATTCAGAAAGTTCATACATGCATACCCCCATGGATAGTTGCTGTCCGCGAAGTGGACCTCACCCAAACAGGTAGGAAACCTAAAACCAAAAATACATCAATAGAAAACAGTGGTTGACGTTGACCATCGACCAACCCTTGCAACTATGGTGCTGACGTGTAAAGTCATGAATGGTTGTTTTGTGACTCTCAAAGCCTAATGAGTACTCTGCCCTACCAAGTGTCCTTTTCACACTCATTCTTGGAGGCTTGGAGCAATAATGAAAAATCATTTGGGTGGAAAATTTACATTCATCTTCTAACAGTCAGGACTCCGTAAAGGATCGGGATTTAGAACTTTGGCGGCTTGTACCAAATTTTTCTGTGGTAATCAACTTCCTGATTTATTATATGCATGAGAAATAAAAGAGCACTTGTGTCTTGACTTGAAGAGTTGAGCACCAATCTGCCAATATTAATCCGAGTTGGTTGGACCACTGAGATTGTGGTCACTCCCAAGTATGGAGAAGGACTTCCATGCAAGCAAGAAATATGTTAATGCGTTGGAGTTGAGTGAGGAGAAGGACTTCCATAGTTCCATGCAAGTGAGGCACATTAATTGTATTGGTTCATGGCTTTATTAAGGATAAAAATGTAATTACACCTAAAAGAGACAATACTTAGAGATTAAGAAATCTTTAGTCTGCGCTATTTGTTATCCTTTCGTTGCTAGTTGTGATAGACTTGTATAAATACCTATAGTGTAAAGTTATTCATTGAGTTAATGAGAACTATTTTCCTAATAGGCTTAAGTACTCCTCATTGAGAGGGCACAATACGTTATTTGTGCCATCATTCTTACACTACAAGAAAAATGGCAGTACAATGACCCCCTTTTTTTTTTTTTTTTTTTTTACTAAAGCGACAGAGTTTCATTATCACAAACAGATTAATTACAAGGGTGCCAAATCGGTATATATGCTTTAGTGATCAATTTATTGATCTGGAGGTAATTAGCACAAAATGCATTAGAATGACCTTTGACTGCATACCATATAATCTCTTCATAACAGGACAAATTAAATTAGAAATCTCTGAGTGATATAGGCTAATATATATTAAACTTTCCAAAATACTCACTTATGATGATGACATTTTTTGGCTAAAATTTCTATTGCAAATACACATGAAGCATAGATGCTTAACAATGCATATTGTCATAACCTTTTTCGGCTTTTCCACTTCTCACTTCCTCTTCTTAGAATCTAGGATTTAGGCAAGCTAGGATTGTTATACATCTCTTTCTTTTCTATAAATGTCAATGGAAGAACAATCAAATAACTCTACTGGTTTCCTTAGGGACTATTGGGTAACTACTTCATTTTAATTTTTTTTGTTTAAGTTTTCTTTTTCAACTAAATTCTCATTTGGTAACTACGTACTTTTAATTTAAAAGAAATGAAAACTGAAATAAATAAATAAAAACTGAAAACTACTTTTTTGAGTTTTCAAAGTTTGACCTTGAGTTTTCAATTTTTGAATTTCAGTTTTCTTTTTTATTTTAATTGAAAGAAGTTACCAAATGAGATTTCAGTTTAAGTTCAAAAAAGTGAAAACAAGAATTGAAAAATCAAAATGAAATGGTTGTCAAACGGTCCCTTACCACTTAATGTGTGTGGAGTAGCTAGTAGTTAGTTGTTGCATTAAACTTTAAAAGCTTAGATTGTACTTATATTTATAAGATATACGATAATAATCAGTGTGACATGCCTC